GTTATTGTATTTAATAATTGCATTTTATATTTGTCTTATTTATATTTTTACTGATTTTAAATTGTTTGTTGTGAACCACCCACAACCGTTGTGAGTCCCTCCTTGAAGGGGAGTTGGGCGGTGATATATATTTGATATATAAATAAATAAATTAGAGATCCTGGCCAGCTAGTATTATAATAAGCTTAAATAGATGGTTTTACTCAGGTCTTCTTATTCCATAGTGCTGCATGTGATGGTTATAGGGAATAGGAGGGAACAAATCCAAGCACTGAAGAGGATTTTGCTAGTTTTTGCTGGTTTTTAAATTCAGGGCATTCCCTATTGCTGGCTGCTCATTGGGGCGCAAAAAAACAAGCCGGAAGAGAACACGTAAATCTAGAGGTCAGCTAGGAAGCTAAGAATGGGCAACCTTCCTGGCTGGTGGTCTTGTGTATGTAAAGGGAATACTGAGTGTGACATGGCTGGCAGGGAGCAGTTGGGCAAATGTGTCTCAGTGTGCCCAGAATTTTTTAAGTTAGCAATTTTTGCCCAGTGGTGCTTTTTGACAAATCTCAAGTAACATAATTCATTCTGTGAGAATTGAGTATGATGCATCATTTGCATTCATGGTGATTGAGGAGGGGGATTTTTCAAGTGTGGTTTTGTGTCGTCTCTCATTTTCTTCCTCTTTCTCTCACCCCCCCCAACTCTTTGCCATTCCAGTGCCAAGACCCGCCAGGTTGCCCTAGAAAACCTGCGGCTAGCATTCTCCTCCAAGACGCTCTTTGACTTCCTGTTGGAACGCAGGTTTACCCTCACGGATTCCTTAGAGAAGTGCCTAAAGAAAGGTAAGCCTCCCAAGGTTTTGGTGTTTGGGGCTTGAACCACTGTAATCAAAAGACTTCAGATCCTGTTGGCTTAATGGGAGAATTAAGCATCTACTTCAGTTTCTCCCATTGAAATCATTTGGGCTTGAAAGAGTTTTAACTGATTGCTTTACTTGTCCCATTGTTCTTAAGGGTGGCACTTGTTAACTTGTACCTTACTGTGATTGGATATTTGGACTAATAAAATACTTAGCATATCAAATGTGATCTCACCAATCATTACAAGAATCTTGTAAGATGAGTTGGTCTATGAAACAGTGGGGGCAGAAGATGAGGCTGGCTTGCCTACCAGTGAAATGTTCAGCAAGACCTCCTGGCTTTTGCACATTCTCTTAACCTCATTCTCTTCAGTGCGCTGCTTACTCTCAGAACCTTGTGGGGGGGATGCCTTTTTGGGAGGCACAGTTAGCATTATCACAGCCATGAACGCAGACAGATGTAGTTGCCATTATCAAACTGAGGGAAGAAGGTAATAATAGCATGGCATTTCTCCAGAATAATGACAAGTCATGCTTTTAACTGCTTAAGAATTCTCTAAGAGAGGAATGAACATTTTGAGAAACAAAACGAGGTGTCTTAAGAAAACCACAAGCTTTGGCTTTCCGCTCTCTCTGCTGAATCAGTGTAGAGATGTATAGGATCTCCTGTGTTGGATGGCCAAGGAATAAAACACTTTTCCCATATTAATGTTTGGGTTTCATTTACATCAGACATGCATGTATCTGTGTCCTTGGTGTAGCTTTTGACATTCTGTGGAGTCCTTGGGGTTCTCTGAGCTTGGTTCTTTCCTTGCAAACATTTCATTACCCGGCTAGGTAACATCTTCAGTGCTAAAATGGGATGAGGTTTGCTCTCTATTTTGACATTCTCTTTATGTCCTGCGGGTCACCTGCTATCTTAAAATCAAAAAGGATTCGATTGTGCCTACATTGAAAGGACACCACATTGTGTGTCCTGTGTCCCCACCGCATGCTCCTTTTGCTCCCAGTGTTGGTGAGGTTGTCTGCTTTTTCTTTCCTGGTGTGAGGCCTGCCAACAGTTCTGTGTCTGTTCCTCCTGCCAGGTAAAGGGGAGGAGCAGGCCCTTGCTGCTACTGTTCTTACACTACTGTGCCTTCAGATGGGCTCGGGGCCGGAAGGGGAGGAGGTCTTCCGCAGCCTGAAGCCGCTCCTTATCACCATCCTGACCGACTCCTCAGCCAGCCTTGTCGCTCGGCAGAGCGTGAGTACTGCCTCCTTCTCTGGTTTGCAGTGAAGGGTGATGCATCAGAGGGGCTGTTGGGGGGAGGTGCGTCAGAGTGCTTGCCCTGAATGACTTCGCCTTTTCTTCCTCCCTTCCTCCTCCTCTTATTTTGTCTCCCTGCCAACAGTGCGCGACTGCTCTCGGGATGTGCTGCTATATTGCTGCTGCGGATAAGGAGGTATGCCAGTGCTTCTTCAACGTTTGGGCTCACTGGCTGTAAGTGGCAGACTTTCCCCTGAGGCTGACTCCATTTCTCTCCTTGTCAGATGCATTGTAGGAGCAGGATGGAGTTGTTCTTCATCCCGGGGTGTCTCCTCAAGATTTGGAAATATTCTGACTCTTTCATTAACAGCAGAACTCTAATGGGGTTCTGGAGAGGGATGCATTTCCTTTTCTGTTAATTCCTGCCAAACCTCTGGAATAGAATGGAAGGTGTTCAGTCCATGCAGGAGGCACCATCGTTGTGAAGAATTTTAGTCTGAACCCTTCTCAGAGTGTCTGTATTGGATTATATTTGGGGGGTCTGTTTATATTTGCTTATTCGTTCTTTTTTTTTTATCCTGCCTTTATGGAGCTTGCAGTGATTTAGTTACTGTATTCATTTGGTCCTCAGAACAATCCTTTATGATGGATTAGGCCAAGAAATAGTGACTGCCCCCAATTACCTAGTGAAATTCACAGGAGAATGTGAGCCAGCTCTGACCTTTTATCAACTTATCCTTCGTGTGCCTGGAGCTTTCTAGATGTGCGGGACCAGAGTTTTCACGCCCTCCCAGTGCTGTCTGAGAAAGCAAACGCCAAGGCCCACCACATCTGATTGGCACTAGGTTGAGGAAGCGCCTGCATCCACCATACCACATGGCCTGTTTGAGATGGTGTAGTGGCTGGGATTTAAAACCAGTTTATTGAGTCCTCTCTCTGCTTCTCTGTTCCTACATTTTGCCAAGTGTAAATTAGCTGTTGGACTACCTCAAGGGAAGGCAGACTTCAGGCTCCTAATATCTACTTTTTTTTTTTCCTTTGGAGATTCTTTTGTATTCATTGAATCACTGAAGTCCAACATCTGGCTAAACTCTGGCAAGTAACCCAAAGATCTGCCAGTAATTCCCTCTCTACCTTCTAGCTAGACTATACCACACTTAGAAATCTTTTCAAAGAATATCCATTGCTTGGGGGCAAAATTAATAACCTTGGATGTGATTCTGCCCTCACGGCACGTTACTGAAAGCCCCATGTCTATGTCTGCCATCTTCTTCTGTAGCTCACCTTATGAAGAGAAACATAACATTGGTTCCTTTGGTCTTTTTGTCTCCTCTGTTTTTCACCCTTCGTTTTTATTCTGCCCTCTTCTTGGATAATGCTGCTTAAAATTGCCATTCACAGACTAGTTGCCGTTGGTGGCTCAGAGCATCTTTCAGTTCAGTTATGTAGAGCCAAACTTTTAAAATGCACCTAATATATCCAAATGCAGGAGGATGCAATAGATCTAGCAAAGAAAAAATATGAAGCACTTATTGCTAGAATAAGAGAGAAGCAGACAGTGAGCTTCCGATGTGCTGAGTTTAGGGTTACCAGTTACCAAGGTGCGATTAGCCAAACTTCCCTGTACTGACCATGTTCAGTAGTAGGAGTTAGTCGCTGGAGATCCCTGAGTTAAAACTATTCCTCTGCCTAACCCTTCAAGCAGAGGCAAAAAAACTGCTAGGGTAAACATGGCCACAGGGATAAGGGCTGTGGCACCGGTCTACCATCCTTCAGTTGCTTCTCACAGTAACCCCCTAGCCCATAGGATGCTTTAGTTTGGCAGCAAAAATGGAAAAGGTTCCTATAGGACAGCTTTGACTAAACTTATATATGTGACTGATGAACCATCCTGAAGCACAGCAGAACTAGGTCTAGGACAGTCAAAAGCCTACAAGTCAATAGTCATCAGGATCTGGGAGCCATTACACCCTGACCCCTAACATGGTAACTAAAGCTTGTTTTGCTTATTGCATTCTCATTTGTGAGAACTGACTGGTTCCTCTCCTTTTTTCAGGACCTAGTATCCTGTCTGGTCTGCCTGGAAGGTATCTTTGGCTCTTCATGCAGCAAGGATGCCAGTTTGGCACCCTCCCACCACAGTCCTCTGCTCCAGATCTTGCATTGCAATGCGCTCCAGTCTTGGTCGCTGCTCCTCACCATCTGTCCAAGCACCCAGATCAAGAAGATCCTGGACGAGTGAGTTGACTGATCTTATCAGGCAGTATTTCTTCTAAGGTGGGAGAAAATCTTGACATCTTTTATCCATTCTAATTGAGATGTAAAAACCAGGATTTAGTGCTTCACTGTAGAGAGTCCACAGTTAGCTTTTCCTAGATCTTCTAGATGTGGAGCATGGGGTGAATGCTGGAAAAGAGGCATAGCAGCAGCTTCTCTACAAAATAGGTGGTGTGGCTATAATTATCCTTCCCTTCATTGTTCTGTTAGTCATCCTTGCTCTTTTCTTCTACAGCCATCTACCTAAGCTGCCTCTGATGCTCTCCAGTGATAATGTCAACCTGCGGATTGTGGCAGGTGAAACAATTGCACTGCTATTTGAACTGGCCCAGGACATAGAGGTATGAAGTTACTGTTCTGATTATTTCAGGAATATAGGCACGCAGGCACCAACACACACAATTCTGTACTGAGCATTTTCCAGGCATGATGTCTTATAGGTCCACTGTGTTCAGAATAATGAAGTATTGAATATTCGTGGGTGATGAGCAGTTACCTTGTTTGGGAGCTTCTCAGGCACATCTTGTGGCCCATTCCGGGCTTCCCAGTTGCGTGTCCTGGCTTCAACAAGGAGGCAAACGCCCATGCAGCCAGCAGGCAGGTGCGGTGCATTCAAGGCTTGTGGCGGTACTAGGGGCCAAGCGCATGCAAGGGAGTGAGTTGAGGAGGAGAAATAGCTGGAGGGAGGCAAGGGAGAGACATGAAGAGAGCCTGGGTGCAGACAGTTTGAAGGGTGCATTTGTGGGTGAGGTTTGCAGGGGTGTTTGTTCCTGGTGTTGGGAAGAGGACAAGTGGCAGGAAGGCAAGGAAGAGGCAAGGCTGGAGCAAAGGGGGTGTGAAAACAGGAGCAGAGCTAGGAAGGGGAACAAAGAGCGTGCGTGTGCTCAACAGGCTTACTGGTGTGTGAGGAGGAGGCAGAAAGCCAGTCAAACCACTTGTAATCCAAAAACATAGGAAATCTTGAAAGTGTTGAGAGGAAAACCAGAGCTTCAGTCAGGAACATGCCAAAGTCAAGAATGCAGGAGACGGGAATGAGGAAGCACGAAACCGGAGCCCAAAGCTGGATGAGAAGGAAGGCTCTGTGCGGTTTCAGTCCTCTCCCTGTTGAGCACACGCAACCTGAAGTTTCTCCTGCTCAGCAGTTGGTGCAAATGAGGTGTTTGCTCGAAGAGTTGGCAGCTTGCCACTTACTGCCCAAGTGCCCTGACAGAGCACAAGGTCTGCAAACCAAGGGAGTCTCTTCGCACTTGACCTGGCAGGAGAGGCTTCAGTGTTGGCAGAGGAAGGGCCTGCCATTGATGAATCTACAAGCACAGCACCCAGCAAGGCCTAATCTGCCCACGTTTTGGAGCCTGGCCCTTGGATCATGACATCCAGGATGGCTAGCAGGATTACTACAGCCCTCAGGGCTTGCTTCAGTGGCTTGGATGAATGAACATAGATGAGTCATAACTTTGGAATTAATATCATTGAGCTCTAAGTTACACCTTATTTAAGAGGAACAATCCCCGGATCTTAAATTGCTCGCTATTGAGCAAAAGGTACCCTCATTCCACGTCTGTGAGCCTGTACTCTTATTAACAGCCTGTGTCAAAATCAATAGATACCATTTCCTTTTTGTGACTAGCTGAATGTGGGCCTGATCAAATTGCTTGCACAGGAGATCCTAAGAGTCAGAACCGAGGCTGGCAACTCTTGAAAGGCCTGGTCACTTTTACCTGGCCTTATAGTCAGACCCCATTCCCTCCCGCATTCCTGAAATCTTATGAGCAAACTAAAAGTTGTGAGATTTCAGCTACCTCACTCCCAGATGTGTGAGATTTTGCATGAGATTAATGATCTCTCCAGATTTCAGGCATGTTTAAAAACATAGTATTAAAACATAATTTAATTAGGGTAGTTATAGGTGATATTTTGGGGAAGTGACAGCCAACCTAACACCCACTGGATGCCTCTTATTTTTAAAGGGAAGAGTAGAAAAATAACTTTTGAAAGAAATTGTCTTGTTTCTTTCTCCCCATGCAAGACATGCTGTCTTTCCTTAGACTGTGGCCTCCACATTTAAGCTTTAGGTTTAATATCTTACTCCATTTTTGCCCCAGTAGGATTTCTTTTATGAGGACACTGACCTGCTGTGCACCAAACTAAAAGCCTTGGCCACTGACAGCAACAAGTACCGAGCCAAAACAGACCGACGCAAGCAAAGATCCATCTTCCGTGATGTCCTGCATTACATTGAGGTAACTCTTGCTATCCTTGCTGAGGAGTCACTACAAAGACTGGGCTAACTGGAATTCTGGGAGTTTGGATAGAACCAGGCTGGGAAAAGTGGCTCGGGGGCAGGGGGGGGGGGCTTCTGTTAGCAGGGCTAATAGCTGTTTGTTTGTCAAAAGATCCTCAGGTACTCTATTTCAGATCCTTACGCTCTCATAATCCCAAATGTCAGAAGCATTCAAGTGGAGGCTAGAGAACCATCTGTCAGGAATGATGCTTCAGTTTGTAATCCTGTACTGAGATGGGGAGGGGACCCAATGATTTAAATGGTCTCTTCCAACGAGCACAGTCAGCAAATGTTCACTTTTGAGGAAAATATATTCTGCGCAGGCTGGGAGAAATGTCCTCCTTTTTCCTGTTACCTAAATGTTTCGGGGCTGAAGCCTAGTAGAGAAAATAGGTTCCCACGACTGATATAGAATCCCATTTGTTCTGGGAAAGGAGGGACATCATCTGTTAGAGATTTCCTCCCTTCCCTTCCAGAGCTGAAGAAAGGGGTGGATGCATGCCAGCTCCTCACAGTAAAAGGAACAAAACACAGCTCTACTTGGTATAGCTGTGCTATCCTGCTTTTTAAGGTATTATAATGAAGCTGCTCTTTGACTGTTCAGAGCCCTCTGTTAGCAGTACGTTGGTGAGCAAGGGGATGTGACTTCTTGCACAGATTAAAAAAAAAAAAGTCCCTTGCTGTATGGTTTATCCCTGCACTCAGCATCCATGAAGTCCCAGGCCTTTCCAAGCACTTGAAGAGATAACAGTGTCCCAGGGTCATCCTTCGGTAGTGAGGTGGGTGGGGTTAACTAAAGCTCTTATTTTGGAATCCCCAAGAGTGTCTTCTCCTTCTCCAGAATGGGGAGTGCCACGAGGAGACTATCAAGTTTGGACTGGAGTGCATGTATGTGGACAGCTGGGCAAGGAGAAGAACATACAATGCCTTCAAAGAGGCGCTTGGCTCTGGTGTCAGGCACCACTTGCAGGTAAGGAGCTGAGGAAAGTGGGTGGGTTTGCTGAGAGGTAGTAGCTTGGGAAAGCCTCGGGTTACTGTGGGAGACCAATCAAGATGGCAAGCATTTGTCCACGCAGTCATGAGGAACTGAATTTGACTCAATGGCATTGAATTCTTGCTGCTCAGTTTAGATGTGGGTGATGAAGCAGGAGTAAGATTTCAAAAGCAGGCCATCAAGGTGTGGTATGAAACTGGTCTTCAGCTCTAGAAATCTGCTTATTATCTCAGCAGCCTCTCCCAGTATACCACCTAATGGCCTTTTCTCTTTGGATTCGTCTCCCCAGAACAATGAGTTGTTACGGGAGACATTTGAACTGGGACCACCACTAGTCCTGGATGCAGCAACTGTTAAAGCCAGTAAGATCTCACGCTTCGAGAAGGTAGGCCGTCAGTGCCACTGATATTTCTAGAGGTTTCTCATTCAGTTTGTTCAGGCTCTGTGTGGTTTTCTCTGACATCAAGGAACTGGGACAGCCTGCTTCAAAGGGAAAGATGCCAATGTAAAGTAAAGACTTCTCATTTCAACCCAAGCAGATAGGTGGCTATATAAATACGATAAATAAATACAATTTTTTAAAAATGTAAAAATCAGGCGCTGGGGGCGAAACAGGGAAGGAGCTGTTGCCTTTGTTCCCTGCATCTGAATGTTCCAGAAGCTTCTAGTTGGCCTCTTCAATACCTTTCCTGTCCTTTGGAACAGCTTGGCCCCCGAGATTTGGATGGCCCCAACCCTATTGGCCTTTCATGAGGTTCTGCGGGCCTGGCTGTTCCCTTGGACTTTGGGGCAGAGTGTTGACTGAGCTTGTCTTTAAGGGGACATGGTATTTTGGTATCTTGATGTGCCTAATTTTTTATGATTTTTTTAAATTAGTTTGTAAGCCCCACCCCACTCCACCCCAAGGCCTTGTGCGGCCATACTAGTTGAAGAAAGAAATAAAATGTTTGACCTAAATGTCCTTGTCCTGTTCCAGCAGGGCTACTCTCTTCCTCTTGTATTACTGTTACAGAACTTCCTGTCCTTTCTCTGGCTACAGAATTACGTCAGTGACAGAGAATCCCTGCAAGGTGTAGAGGGGTCCGGTGTCACTATAACAACAGAAATTATTTTGGGCCTAGTAGAATTAGACCATGATTTTCAGGCTCTGGGTGTTCTTAATTGGCGGTTTTCTGAGCTAATTGTGGCCTGTGTCTCTTCTCCCCTTGGCTGCCCCAGCACCTGTATAATTCTGCTGCCTTCAAAGCCCGAACGAAAGCAAGGAGCCGTGTCCGAGATAAGCGAGCGGATGTCCTCTGAGGGCTTGTTTTCTTCTCCTCTTCCTGCCTTCCATAGAAGCCAATGAACTACGATAGACCTGGACCACTGTGAACCCTGCAAGTGTGGAGAGATCCTGAGGCAGAAGCCCCCACATGGCCTCAACCCCTTGAAAAATTGGGCTTGTGCCCTGTCCCCCTCAACACCCCCACCTTTCTTTGGGGGCTTTTATATATGTACAGAATAATATTTAAATGTCTTGGATGTTTGAATTATGGTGGGATGACAATGGGCAGGTGCCATTTTTATTTTTTTAACCAAAAATTTAAGCGAGGTTGGGTGGTGGGGAGATTTTTTTTCCCTCACCCCTGCTGCTTTTTTTAAGCCAGTGATATTTTTACCCCTTTTCCCCCATCTCCGTTACTGAATGTATCAAGACTGAATCTTCTCCCTCCGCCTCCTGCAGTTGTGAACTTTCCCAGTGATGACTTTGGTGCAGAAGGTGGTTTTAGGATAAGGCTATCAACAGCAGTGTCCAGGATGGAGGCTGTGAAAGGACCGGTTTGAGGTTGGGTGCCTTGGGTTTTTCCCCTCTGGTGTTGAAGGTATTTTGCTGTGAGATGGATGAAATGTGCTGTAGAGATCAGTGTAGATGATTAAAAGTTAGGCTTGATAGCACATGAAGAAGGTTATACCTCTTCTCTACTGATGCAGTTGCTTGACACTGTTGGCTGTATTCTCCTATCCTACTTATCACCACCTGTCATTCTGTTCTTGCTCTTTGAGGCTCAGTTTTGCTTCTCACTTACTGAGCTTTAATTTTATTTTTTTAATGGGAAACTGCTCTACTTCACTGACAGATGGAGAAGCCAGTCAAAGCTGCGCCCCAGGCTGAAAAAAGGTCCTTTCCTTGTGTTTGGGTTCTTTGGTGGGCCTGAGCGTTCCTCTTTTCTCCACACAGGCAGAATTGACCCCATTGTGAGGAAGTTCTCTGGTTTACCGTCTGGTAAAAAGAGCAGCGGGCTTTTGATGCCACTCTTGATTTAATTTTGCCTTTACTATTGATTTTGCAGTGGGAGAAAGTCAGCATGCCATGGCAGTGGTGCCTCGTCTTGTGACTACTTCGTTTTTGGCTAACTTGCCTCTTCGATTTTTGCCAGCCTGCTTTTGCAGATGTAACAGCTCAACACTCAAACATGAGGCTAGGCAGCCTTTCTGAGCCAGGGGCACATTTATAATTTTGAGTTCGTGTGATGTACACACTGACAAAAATGGCTACCATAGGACACTAGCCTGTCTACAAAATAGCTGCATTGGTTGGCATGGCCAGTCACCCAGACTTATTTGCCCGAAAGGGAACTTTCTCTCTTCCCCAAGTTGCTTTCTGCCACCCCAGTGGATCTTTGTGCAGTCCACAAGTTGTCCTATAAATAAATATGGTGCTAGAACTTTGTTCTATGGCATCCCACCTCTCTATTGAATTTTTAAAATATGCCTTGACATAACATCAAGTGGAACAGGAAGCTTTATGGGTGCCTTAGGGGATGTCCTTACACTTCCATGCACCCACTTCTCTATCCCAGATCAGTTCCAGTTATGGACCCCATCCCAATTGAAATCATGGTGTCTAAGGCAAAACTGACTTCGAAGAGAGACACTCACATGTGTTTTAGGAAGCACTGAGTTTACACAGAGCCTGCACGTATATATCCAGTGTAGTAAACCTTCATATTCCTCAGAAACCTTCGTTGATAAGAATGGAAAGGTAGCTCTTAGCGTTACACCAAGCAAAGTTAATAAGATTCTCTTTCCCAGAATATCTGTTTGGATTTTTGTCTAAAATACTGTCTCCTTTGCCTGTTTTTCTCAGAAGAGAAATCTGTGTTGATCTGCTGGACTTCAGACTATCAGGAACAATTAGCTATAAGAATAAAACCTCTTTTGTTTTTTGGAGGAGGAGGGCTAGCAGAAAAATGCCTGTATATTCTCAATGTATCCTTGATAAATACCAACTTTTATTCTGAAGCAAAAATAAGAGTTTAGACCTAGACAGTAGCCTTTTTTTTTTTAAAGGTTCAAGGCAAAACCTCCCCTGAGCCAAGCTCAGCTCTTGGTGACTTCATAGATGTGTCCATGTCATTTTCCCAGCAACACGGAAGTGGTTTATGGTTGCCTTCCAAGGCGTTCTATTTTCCTGCCCAGTGTACAGCCCTGGGGTTTTTTGGTAGCATCCCATCTGAGGATTAAGCAGTAGTCTTTCAAGTTCTGCCAAGGTCATCTAAGTGCTTAGCAAGCACCCTCCTGTTGACTTGATTCATTCACGGTGGCTTTTGCAGCTGGAGGCTCATCTTCAACAAGAGTAGGGCTATCCTCTTTCAGATACACACGCAGTGCCTTGCTGGCTTTGTATGTTCTTGTTCTAACCAATTGTGTGCATACTTGCGTGTCACAGTGCATTTTGAATGATGGCTGCAGAAACATAGAGCTCATTCACACAACCTCCTTGCCCTAACTTGAAGTCACCTACTTGCCATTTGCTGAGGGCATGGCTCCACTATGGAGCCTCCATCTCCTTGCCAGCTCACTGCTGAACCAGGTTGAAGCCAGTCCAGGTGTTCCCAAAGAAAAGTGGTGTTTTCCAGGGAGACCGGCCATGTAGCCATTCTAGGTCACATGGGGGAAGAATCATCAGAGGTTGGAGATCTGATGGTCACTGACTGGCCCATTGCGGGACTGCTCTGTGTAGCTACTGGGCTCTGTGTCTCCGTGGCCTTTTCTAATTGGACTGTTGAGAGACTGGACCTCTCTTGTATAATGTTTTTTTTCCTTAATTTGGGCAGAGGAACACTGAACAAAGCAAAAAAAGTTATGCTTTCTGCTTACCAATGGGAACACTTACTACCACTGGTAAGCAGAGCGCAGAACTTTTTCCTCAGTGGGGAAGGGTGCCTGCAGGGCTCACCTCTCTTTTGGGCACTGCAGCGGAAAACAAGGGGGTGCTGTAGGGGCTACACCTACTACTGTACTGTACTGTACTGTCTGTATGAGAGCGAGCAGCAGGCAGCAGCCTTGGTGAGCCCTCTGATCCTCACTCACGGGCCACAAGATATGAGTCAGGGAGGCCAGGCTTTGCCTCCACCGCCAGTTCCAGCTCTTCCCACTTCCACATTCACCATAAGGGGTAGGGTTGTAGGAGCCAAAAGGAAGCACGGTCAAAGTACCATGGGTGCCCAGAGCTGAGCTGAGAAGCCATCTCCACCAGTGGCCGTCAGGTGGAAACCCGTAGCAGCTGGGATCCTCTCGCCTTCCCGCTGAGGCCACCTGGTCAATGTTACTGTCCCCTACATGGTTTCTTCCTTCTGGAGCACTCCAGGATGATTTTGAAGGAACAATATTTACACAAAAAACTAGCTCTGATATGTAGTATACTGCCTCGACTTCTCCTCTGGTCCTCTCACATCTAATGTCCTATTACACTGTCTGCAGGCATGCTCAGGTGAGCGATTGGTAGTCATGCAGTGGGAGGGGAAAAATAAGGAATCCTCCAGTCTCTGTCCTGGAATCCACATTAAACTGTGTCCAGGCAGCGATATATCTAGCCCCATTGCTGACGGTAGGCAGTACGGAGAGTGATTTTTGCATTGCCATCCCTTCTTTCAGTCTCAAGGCCAGCAAGAAAGCTCACTGATGTTGCTCTGTAGATGAGTCTACAGTAGTTTAATAAAAGGAATGGCTTGTCACCATCCTCTCTGCTGCAAAAGAAATTTGGTTGTCTTCAACAAAAGAGTGATGACAGGCATTTTTCTATTGGGCATCCCCCTATAAAAAACAAAAAAGCTCTTAGGTCTAGCAGCAGGAAATTTATCGTCTGTACATATTCATATTCTTGGTTTGGGCTACAGGACTACCCCCTCCATCAATTTTTGACTTGTGGGGAGCTAGGCACAAATTAGGAAATGGCTTTGCCTGAATGCCTAATTTCTGCTGTACTTTAACAAAGAACAGGGAATTTTCTGAAGAGAGTTTTCAGGGCCAACAGCAAATGCTCCTTTCTTTTATTAGCCTAAGCTAATGGCTGGATTCTGTGCCCAAGTCTTGTTCTTTACAGACTGATGGTTTCTTTTCTGTAGGTGGAGCTCCCCTTTTCAGCAAACACCGAAGATCAAAGAAGCCTAGGGTTTTTTATTATAACTCTTCAAACACATCCCCAGGTGCAACATTTTTTAAAAAATACATATCAAGTTGAGTAGTGCATTTTGAAAAAGGTGCTCATAGTATCTCTTAAAATACTGTGATCAATGAAAAACAAAGCAAGTGTGATGCTGCTGGAAGCCTGCTTCATAGGAACCCCATTCTTTTTACTTCTTGGTCAGATCTCTGTCAGCCCCACCGTGTCCTGCCTGGCAATCTCAAGTGGGCCTGTAATCCATTTGTCCTACAGATTGCAGCAGCTGGAAGACTCATCCGTGCTTCTCTAGGACTCCTTTTTGCTTTAGTGATCAGATTGTCCAAGCCACCCACCGCGTACCATTTTCTTAAAACTGGCAAAGCAATGAATTGGCTTCCACTCTTCTAAAGCTCTGGAACTAAGCTTCTCCAAAAGAGAGGGTGGGAGAGATGAGACTCTTTGGCTCAGGTTTGAACCCCAAGCTCACTGGCATTTAGCTGCCTCCATAGCTGCAAGCTCACTGCTCTCATTTGCCGGATGGCCTCCTCTTGGGACTCCAGCCACTGGGCAAGAGCGCGGAGTGACTCACGCTGTAAGACTGTAAAAGAGAAAGAGTAACCACATGACTAACACAGGATGTTTAAAAGTCTCTCTCTCCTGCACCATTTTTAATATGAATGCATGTCACCCTGCTATACCCAAACCTCTCAGTCTTTACGTTTGTATATCCAGTCCATTTGCAAATTTTGGACTACGGTTCCCGTGTCTCTGAGCCATTCAGCAGAGATGACTGAAGCTGATACCTAGTATTTGCCCTACATCTTGGTGGGGAAGGTGGCACAGCCCCAACTAGGTGTATGAAACAAATGCCTTCCCATGCCAGCAAGATACACACACTGGGCGGGGGGGGGGGTTGTTTGCTGGAGACCCGAAGAGGACTTAGACCTCTTGGGAGGGCTGTGGTGACCATAAAGTAGCCACTCAGCGGTTCTCATGTCAAGATGGCACTCTGCTTGGCTAGTGTTGTGATGGGTCAGAGGCCATCCAAAGCTCAGGGAAGCTGATCTGTTCAGCATTGAGCTATTTAGTGTTCTGGGAAGAAATGTTCCACTTGTCCTAATGGTTCACATCTTGACTAAATACTCACTTTGCACTTAATCATGGTTTGCTGAATAAACAACAATAGGTTGGGTTGGCAGAATAAACTAAGCTTTAAACTATTTTTTGGACACCACAATGGCTATATTAACATGTTACAGTAAACTTGTGGCGACTGGCTATTAGAACTCACTCAAATAGTTACATGGGCTACCACCTCCCCATTTAAATTCAGGGGGAGCAAAGAGATTTGGGAGGTGTGGGTAGAAGGACAAGTCTGGGAGATGCTCAGACTCCGATCACAGGGAAATTGTCTGTCAAAGCAACAGGGTTAGGAATGGATATTTATTGCAGAGAAGGGAAGATTAGCAGCCTACAGATATTTTGTAATCTTGCTATGAGAGGTAGAATACTCTGAAGAATTAAACCTAAATTGTAATTTTAAGGGGACCTGTTTACAATTCTTCTTAAATTATATAATAAAAGTTAATTTGATTCTTTGTTCAAATGTTGTTTTAAAAAGTGACTGCTGTTCTGTACCTTCCCCACATCCCACCATTTGTGTTTACCTCATATCTAGAGAGAAAGAGAAGAGAAAAACAAAAGCATTTCCAAATCAGAAAAGGGTTTGTGGTGGTAGTAAAACCAATAGATATTTGGGATTATACTTCAGTTCTAAAAAACCGAGAGGCACCCTCACCAGAGTGCACCACAAAACCTAAGCAAATCACCTTATGGTTTATTGTGTCACATGAACCTAGTTTTGCAGCTTCAGCAGCAAGCTGAGGCATGTTCCCTGTTTCTCCATTAGTGTAAACTGCTTTAAGTGTTACACATATAGGCTCTTATTTAAACTGGCACTCTGAGGTTTGTCGCAGATCAGTGTGATCCTGAGGGTTGACCCAGCCAAGAGACCCCAGAACTTCTGATGTTTGTTGTTTTAATTTATTTCCTTTTTTCCTGCTGATAGAAGGGGACTTAGAAAAGCTTGTAACCAAATTACATTGGCAAAGAAGGCACCTGGTGCTAAACTTCAGCACCAGCTTCCATTTTATGTCTAAAATGGGAAGAGTGTGTTTTCATGTGATTTATGCAACAGGTGATCCAATGTGTAACTACATAGATACAAAATCATTTCACAAAAATGTCAGCTGAGATACAGCATCACATATTGGATATGGAAGAATAAATGTTATGGCAGCAACTACATTTTGGAAAGAATGAGAAAGGATGTAGCGTGATTAGAAGCACTGGGCATTTGAAACCCTGTGTTTCCCTCTAGTTTATCCAGAAGAACCTTTGTGGCATATCATGAATCCCCATCAAAACTTCTCCTTGGGCAGTTTTCAAGAGGGAATGTTAACTGAAAATGCTTTCTTCCCCATGGTGAATATGTATTAAGATACTATAGTGAGCTTTTTATTGTCTCCTTGCTTATGTGTAGCCCACCAAACTCCAAACTTACCACTCAGGTACACAGCCAATGTAGCTAAACCAAGACTAGCCATAACGAGCACTCCAAGGAGAGCGAAGAAGGCAGTGGGGCAACAAGCAGGTCTGAAACAAGGGCAGCAGGTAAAATCAGGGAGAAGGTGGAAATTTTGGACTGGGGGAAAGGCAGAGTCATCCTCATTTGGGAAAGAGACATGCTTGGAGGAAGCCCTATGTGGAGGCCATGGAGTGATGGGCTGTGACTGGCTGCTTCCTGCAAAAGAAGGGGAAAGAAAAATGAGCAGAAATGAGAAGGAACAGTAATAGACTTTGGTCTGGGGACTATCCCAGGGTTCTTCAGCCATTCTGCTGCAGTCAGCATGAGTTTACCAGAAACTGTTCAAAGAATGAAGTGCAAAGAATAACCTCAAGCCTTGAAAACATACCTTCAGAAGTCTTGGTGTCCTCACTTCTGATGGAGGCATAGTGCAGATCACTAATAGACTCCACTGTGTGCAAGTTGATGTCTTCCATGTCATTATGTTCAATGAGTTCCCTGTCAGAGGAAGCAGAATCCTTCACCATGGTATCTGCACAGAAAAAGAAAAGGAGTTTGGTAGGTGAGGTGAACCCGCTGCTCTGAACGGGAACCAATCTTCCAGAACAGGCTACAAATTCAGTCTCCTTGTGCTCTGAGGTCTAAGAGTATTTCTCCACCTTGGGCAGGTAAAAGGTGGTTGTCCTCTTTAAAAGGGGACTTGTCCCTTTTTATTCTCCTCCCAGCTCCTGGCAGCTTCTAACCAATTCAGAGGTGGAAAACCACCAAATTCATCTGTTTATTCAATTATCGTTAATGTTTCTAAAATTATCTCACCTCTAGATAAAAAGAAATAAACTTTCTTGGACCACTCTGCTTCAGTATAGAGTATTACTGAGCCAAACCTCCAGAACATAAAGGATCTCCTTAACATGCAGCATCATAAAGCAAATGCAGTAACACCATTCTACTTAAACTGGCAGCAAGGATCAAAGAGATAGAAAACATTACTAACTTGAAATTAAAATTTTAGTTTTCTGAGAGTTGCCATAAGAGAGATGAAGGCATCCTTGCTTTGCAGCCTGAACTTCCCAGTGTTGGTTTTGCTGCTTCTGGATAGCATGTTTTGGGACAGTCGTTTTGGGAGTGCACCTGGGCATCAGCTGCGCACTAACTGGGGAAAGAGGTGAGGAGGGCAGGACCTTTTGAAAGGGACCCCATAGGACAACTGCCCTGGGCCCTACGCACAGAGAAAGCTCATCCAGATGAGGATTCAGCGGTTGAAATAATTAGATGGTTTACTATCTGTCATTCAAGGCAACAAAAAGCAGTTAGAATGCCCAGAGCTACAGTATTCCAATATTTCAGTTCTCACCACACTCTGGCTAAATGGACTATGGTTTTTAATGGACAAAACACAAACCAAAATAATCATAATAAGAGGGGAGCGCATGCACAAAGGCTGGTGGTGGCAGCAGTCACCACAGCCTGCTTTCCTGCAGCCACATTTACCAGGAGAGCATTGAAACAACTGCAGAAAGAGAGAAAATCCATTCCCTATACCTTTTCTAGTATGTTAACAACTTCCTGCTCAGATGAGATGGGAACGGTAAGACTGAAGTGGATTACTCAATTTCAAACAGTGGTAATCTCACTGCACCCCACCCACCCATTCAGAAAAAACTGCTTGGGCTCTGGACAGTGACAACAGAACAGGGCCCAGGGGTGTCCCCATGGTGTAGTTTAAAAGGGGGAAAAAATCAAGATGGTGACCACAATAGTGAGACTGAAACTCTGCCTGGTCTTCATATGTGTCACAGGCGGAATGTAGCATCTGATAACAACTTGGGATGACCTTACTATGGTCTGACCCAATGCTTCTAAATTCTGCATTCCTACAAGCGCTCCAGTCCCACCCCTTCTACTGATGCTAGTGCCTTCTAACATAAACAGTACCCTTCACTCTACTGTACCCTTGTAGTGTCTCCTTTCACACCAGGAAAAGAGCAACAATCTGGTTTCTGTTACCTATCTCCTTCCCCGTCAAGGTCATCAGAATACTATTTGCCCCTCACATTACCCTGTGGACCCTCTCGGTACAGGCAAAGGATGACTGCAATTTTACTGGACCAAATTATCTATGCATTGGGGCAGGGTGAAGAGTGCAGTGGATTTAGCTCTGAAGGTGAATGGCCAGACAGAGATTTAAATCCTCCATCTTTTCATTTCCAATTATTGTTGGCAGTGAGAGCCAGTGATGACAGAGTCTCCCCTTTCCCCCTTCGTGAGAGTTGGGAAAGAGCTGTCAAGCTACAGAAGCTGTTGATGGAGATGCAGGGGGATGCTGTTTCGCTGCCCTTCCTCACCCTCCCCATGCCAGCAGAAGGTCTGTTCTACATTGGCTGAACTTCTGTTTTTCCTCCTTAGCACAATTCTTTCACTCTGACACAACAGGTTGTGGTCGTTGTCACAACAATAGATTTCAGGAGGTGACATGGGGGTGCCCAAATGAGAGCTCTGTTTGGTGAACTTCACCCAGTGAGACAGCTGTTAACGGAACAAATTGCTGCCAAGTTGGCACCCTGACCCCTGGGTGGGGTTGTTTTCTGGCAGCTCAATCTTGGCTCCCCATTTGGGGTCATGTTTTTCAAGGGCACAAAGGACACATGGGCAGCATAATCACACCTTAAGGAACAACTTAGAGGGCAGGGGTTTCTTCCTATCCCTTTAACTAAAGGACGGACGGAAAAGTGATGCTTTCTGCTGCTCTGTGCCACAGAAAACATCATTTTGTTCACCACAGCTCTGTGAAAAGTGCCCCTTGAATATTCTCCCAGCTGTGCTTATTTACGCAAAGTTAACTTGGCAAAGCGTAAGAGGGCTTAAGTTGGAATTTCAGAAAAGAGAACAGAAAATGAGTTTTGCCATTTTGAAGATTCTTAATTGCTGAAAAGAATTACTGTACAGGACTGTATTGTCTTAGAACAATGGCATTAAGGAATGTTTGTCCAGTACATGAAGCCAAAGGGACAAATTACACGTAATAAGTGCCAAGCCACCGGGTCACAATAAAGAACAATTTAAAAGATTCCCAAGTAAGATAAGGCAGGAAATGCTCTCAGTCTGATAACGATGAGCCTTAAGAACACGCAAAATTAATTATAAGAGAAAAACAACAGTTATAGAACTGTTACATCTCTGCGAAGAAAAATAACAGTTGAGTAAATGCTGTGTGTGCACGCAGACAAACCTACATCATTTTGGTAAGCACTAGTACATATGAATTGAGCCCCATCATCGTGGAACAGATCATAAAGCTTGAATTTACTGAGAAAATGCTTCTTTCTGTCACACATGATCCAACTATGAAATTTACTTCATCAGGTTGTGGTCATGTTCATCAACTTGGATGGCTTTAAACAAGGATTAGCCACACACATGGCTAATGTTGGTTGAGGCTATAAATAGGTACCAGCCATGAAGGCTGCATTTATTTTCTTAGATATTTTGGAAGGGAGGATCACCAGAAATTATTATACAAGATTGGAGGAATAATTTTACTGGTTTGCAGCAGTGGAATGCTGATATGTGTTATTTGGCAACAAGAAAAAAGACTGTTGAGCAAGTTCATCATTTTTTTTTATAGTTGTTTAGTTTATGATACAAATTTTCAGGCAATTTTTAAGATTGTGTGTGTGCGTGTGTATAAACATCTCTATTACATAGTCCCTTTGTATATGGCAGGGTTTCTCAACCTCAGCAACTTTAAGATGGGTGGACTTCAACTCCCAGAATTCCCAAGCCAGCCATGTTGGCTGGGAAATTCTGGGAGTTGAAGTCCACCCATCTTAAAGCTGTACGGTTGAGAAACACTGGTTTATGGAGAATAAATTATTCTAGAAGAAGCCTGAGAAAGTCGCAGCTGGATGGGGTTGATGAGATCCTGAAAAAGAGGCCAGAAGTTTAAAGAAGAAAAGGCAATGCATGAAGTGAGGTATGGGGGAAAAAAAGTGGGGGGGCGGGATCAGGATTCTCTGTTGCCTGCCACTTTTCCATAGAAAGTTGCAGTACTGCAGGATCTATAACCAAGCTGCAAGAACTTTAAACATTTATTCAAGAAATAACTGTTTGTGCAATATGGTAACTAGCTATTTGCACAACAATAGCCACACATTTATCTGAACAAAATTCTGTAAATTAACCTTTCCTTCACATACTTATCTGCATACCACAAGCTCCTGTGCCACTAACAATCAACACAGGATGTTTGACTATTATAATATGACTGAGGAAGAATATTAAAAACTGAAACTACTCCCCTGAGCATTTGTTCACCCTCCCTAGAACAACAGGTGAATGTGCCTTTCTGTTCAAGCTCTACAGCTTCACACTCCATGGAGCTAGAAGGTCTCTCTGACAGAAAGGCCATCCCTTCTGCATGATAAATCTACGTGCTCTACAACAGAGACCTCAAACAGACCATACCTTCTCCAATTTCACTGGACATCCTATAGACCAATTCCTCTTCCTACGGCTGTCCTGGAGGTAGCTCACGCAGTGGGGAGGAGTGTTCAGAAGACTATGCAAGGCCTATCAGGTCCTCTGGGAACAGGCAGGGAAGGAAACACAGGTTTCTGCCTGTCAGGTCAGCTGCTTGGGCTAAAATAGGAATATGAGGAGCTGGGGGAGGAGTTATAGATAGAGACAGAAAAGAGACTCCGGGGTGGGAGACCATGAGCTATATTAGGCTACAACAAAGATTGGAAAGCTGATTGAAAGGAGAAGGAAGCAAAATAGAACTGTGGATGTGAGAGACAATTCTCTAGAGGCAGAAAATGCTAAATGGAAAGAGAGAAAATGAGAAAGCGTTGGAACTCTTAGGTTACAGTAATGTAAAAGTTGCAACTTCCCTCCCTGATACCTTCTGAACAAAAATTGTTCAGAGGTAAACAATAGTGAGCATTTCAGCAGCATTTTCCAAAGTCTCTGGAATTCTACACTGCATACCTTAGAACAAGAATTATTATTATTATTATTATTATTATTATGTATTAAATTTATCTTTATAAAGATGTGACGATAGAAACTGTAGCTGCAAACAATGACAATGATCATTCTGGTTGATGGTCTCCACTGCAAAAGTTGAGCTTCTTTGTAAATTCAGTATTGGAGAATTGGTATTGGCTTCAATGCTTCAGGCAGGTGACCAGAAGAGAATGTTTTACAGCTACACTTGTTCATTGGCTTCCCCTTCCAGCCTCAGTTCTTTCAGTCAAGATTAGGAATGTCAGGTGCACCCTCCTGAAATACAATCAGCATAGAACAACACTCAGCACTCTGCCAGAGAAAATAAACGTATGTATAAAGTTATAAAATGTGCTCTTCTCTAGAGAAAGAACTATCACAAACACAGCTGAGCCTAAGACTAGAGAAAGAAATAGATTGTTGCCTTTTGATGTCTGTTTTTACATTTGTCAGGTCATTGCAATATTTATCTGATACCAGGGTTGTAAGGTTATAGATTCAACACTGAGTAAGCTTGAAAGAAGAGTGGAATACTAAAAAATTCTAACCAGTTGAAGAACAAGCCAGGACAAACAACTGGAACAGAGGAATTAACCAAGCCATGAGGGATATATTATATTTGGTATGTTCAAATGAGTCTATATCATCTTTCAGATACAATCAAGCAGAAAATTATCTTTTAAAGCAAACAATTTGACTTATAAGTCAGCTTGTATCCAAATCTGGATCCTGCTATTTCACATTTCAAGAGTAGAATTTAACTTCTAGTTTTCAAATTGTTTTCTCTTAGATTGATGACATCAAATTATAGCTTAATTCTCTTACACTAACAGACACCTTAAAGATGAACAAATTTAATATGGCGTGTCTTTGTGAAGTGCAATTTCCTGTGTGAAGACTATATTCCCACAACATGCTTAACTTGGCCAATGAGAAAGCTGTTCATTGGTCATGGAATTCCAAAAAAGGATTAATTGACCCAGTCAGGTAACACCAGGGGGTAGCTGTAGCCGAAACAGATTAAGGGCTAGGCTTAATTACAATACATAACCCCATGAGGAAGGGGTGCTGATTGTCATGTAGACAAAATGCTGGAGACAGAAAAAGTTTGGCCTATTTAAAATAAGGAGCAGAATACAGGAGGAGAACTCCTTTGAAATCTGTGTATCAAATCAAGACAAAATGCAGAACTAGTATTATTCCCTGGTTTATAGTTTGGAATTTCCAGGAATTTGGGGAAAATCCAGGTAGTTGAAACAAAGGAAACTCTGTTTAAGGAATCATCTGTTCCTATAGAAATAGGTAAAACATCTAGGCAGGAACTTGTACTAGGTTTAATTTCTGTTTTCTATGTGATACTTCAGCCTTATTGGCTCTTACATTTATTTCTTTGTAAGGGAAACATGTATAATTTCAGTTGTTATTCCATATTTGAGGCTAGGGTTTAATGTATTTTTTTCTTTAGAATCTACTTGTGATTTGCAATAATAATTGGATCTCTCTCTCTCGCTCTCTCTCGCTCTCTCATACCTCTCCAGATTCTGAGAGAATGCCATTTGTAGGAGACTAGTCTCAACTTGTGGTCTGTCCACAGTCTTATATTTTCTTTTGAATTTTTTTCTTTCCACCAGTTTATTCACTGTAGTATACTGTGATCTAAGTAGTTCTGCAGTTTATCTTTTTTCAGTACTGGTGGTGTCAGCCTTGCGAAGAAGTCCAGATAGGAAGCATGCCCAGATGAACTAATTCTACTTTATTGTAAGGTTACATTAATAGAATCTTGCAGGACTGAATTTTCTCCCCTGTCGCCTTTACAGCCCAAGAAACTAAAGAGAGTCCCTTCTGAGATGTTTGCCATGCCCCCCATTCCTTCTGCAGGCTCAGCTGCCTCTTATCCAACCATTCTCCTGGCTGTGGCTCTTCCTCCTGTCTCCCAAAGTCATTCCCACATACCATTACAGGTGATTTCCATTTACATATTTAAAGTTAAAAAGGATTTACTACAATTTTATCTTTCTCTCTTTACATCAAGTTTGATTTTGTTTATCTGTTGTGAGATTAGTTTATCTCCCAAGGAGGGAAGGAAAGGCTAGATCCTCTAGCCACATGCCTATATGCTACGTAGCCAGCAGTGCTGTAGAAATTGTTTCCACTTCTACATTTTAATTTTTTAATCATCAAAAAGTAGCACAGGGTGTGAGGGTCTTATTTTTCTCATACACCAGGGTTAGGAGGTAGATACCAGCTAAGGCACCCTCTGGAAAATAGGTGGTGGTCAGAAACTATCACTACCTGCTACCACAAAGCAGAAGGTGGAACCAGAATGTGAAAACCCAGAGGGGCTTTTAAGAGAGAGACATCTAGCTTCCACCCTATAGGATAAGCCATCTGTTACAGGATTAAACTGACTTTCTATGATTAACAATGTTGTGGACCTGCTGATTAGGGAACTAAATAAATCCTACCCGAAATTGAATGAAAGTTTATGGTCCCATGGGGGGGGGGGGATGAGACATTAAAACAAATGGAAATGGGTAGGATTTGGTAACTACCATCACCCCTCAAATATGTGGTGGTACAGATCTGGATCACTTTTCTGTTTTTTTTTCAGAAAAAAACTAGGGAAGTGAGGCAGGAAGTAACAGCTTCTCAGCTCACTTTACAATGGCTGGAAGAGCTCCAAACTACTCACCACCCCATAGACCCAGCCATTTCTGACTGAGTGTTGCTGCCAGATTATAATGAACCTACCGTTTATGAGAAGAGATGCTCTGTTATTGATGTTGCAGGTAGAGAGTGTAAGAATCAGGCCTGAGGCCAAAGAAAAAAAGTCTTACATCATTTTATGTTCCTTATTTATAGAAGTACAAATAATTATTTTGAATATCACTTTATTTAAGTTAGATCCACTTCAAACACACCAGTTATTCCATTTTTTTAATATCAATGTTAACATCATATTTTAACTATTTTGAAACTGGACAGAAAGGCAAATTGGTCAAGTTCACATATCACTTTAATCATAGCATAATTTGTTGGAATTTGGCCTAGTGTGATGTGTGAACTGAGTCATTTGTAGCATATTTAATCAATTATAGTTAAGCAAATTATGGCTTAACATAACATGTGAATACAGGAAATTAGGTCTCACATTGCATCTTATAAAGAAATGCACTTGTCCACGGAACCTAGTATTGTCTTTCCATGGTCTCCAGCAGAAATCTTTCCACTTGGGTGGTGGAAAATACATTGAGAGAGACTAAACATTATTCTCAGCCCCACCTGTCAATTAATTTAGTAGCAAGTGGTAAAGGAACCATGTATGGAGACAGAATTTGTGCAGTTATTTCATGTCAGATGAAAATAGGGGCAACTGTGTCCTTTTTCCAACTACTGCATTATTTGGTCGGTGGGAAGGTAACCTTATTGGTGTTTGCAGTTCTTTTTTCTCTTTTAGAGGCTAACAAGAGCAACTATTCTCAGGAATGATATAGCTGGGGCTCAGCTTCTAAATTGTATTTAAATTAGGCTTAATTCTTCATTTCCTCACGAATGCAAAATGCAAGAGAGAAGCCTAAGATGGCACTACCAATAGGTGCTGATCAAATTCATGCATCCCTATATTCAGTCACCCATCATGACACTGGGTGACCAGTGTCATTTTTTTAGCCACCAATTATTATCGTTTTTGCTGACAAAATAGAATGTTAAGAAGCAGAGCTGAATGGAAAGCACTCTAAATCTTGTATGAAGTGCTCTGCTAAATGTATTCTATAAATAGTCTGGGAGAAAAACAAAGAATCCAACCTGATAATGGGCTGAGATGACGTGCTTTCAACCTACTTTGCTTGCTTACAACTGTAAGGTGTGCGTTTGTGAAAGGAGACAGAGAAAAACAGATGTGACAGAGCAGATGTGATACAGAGATCCCCACATCCATCAACTTTGTGTCACGGTGTTAAGGGAGCAGATAGAATATGCATTGGCTGAATGCCAATTGTACTCAGGGCAATTTGTTTCCCCATCTGTTGTGTCAGGGAACATGTCAGAAAAGTGCAAGTAAGCTACATTCCATGCTACAATTGTAGAACTGTTAGAGCAGTGTTTCTCAACCTTGGCAGCTTGAAGATGTGTGGACTTCAACTCCCAGACAGCATGGCTGGCTGGAGAATTCTGGGAATTGAAGTCCATACACATCTTCAAGTTCCCAAGGTTGAGAAACACTGTGTTAGAGTTACCAAACTCTTTTTATTTTATCAGATCATCATTATTGCAGTTTCCATACCTATGGCTGTAGAAGAAGGTGCAAATGGTGTGTCCAAGGAAGCATCACCTACCCCCAGAATGGGGAGTGGGCAACATTTTCAATCTCTTCTCTCTTTTATTTATTCTTGGGGAGCTTGGACAGAGTTAAGGGACAAAATGGGTGCCTTAAATCTCATAGATATTTGAGGGTCTATAGCAGAGATCTTCCCATCAGCTGCTATCTGATATTTTTAACTAGGAAGGGAACATTTTGGATTAACTATATGATTTCCTGGAAACAGTTCAGATCATCTTCAAGGAAGCCTTAATCTATTAATATATTATTTAACTTTTGTGCATATATAAAATCATATGGGTTTTCCCCCGCCACAGAGCCATGTCTCCATCCCCTTTAAGCTGACACAAAGCTGTACTAGCATGAACTCAGATGTCTTTCTTGCTGATTCTTATCCTGCCTCTACTGTCTCTATTCCCCACCACTTCCAATCCCCCTCCAAGGGAATAGGTGACAAAGCCTCATATTTTACATACCTGAACTTAAGGCTGGCCTTGGTTAAAATACTACTTACTACGAGTGCAGTAAAGGACTTAAGCCTGTCTTCCTCAGGGGCTGGGGTAAGATGAAGACAATGTCACAGGGATACAGCTATTGCCAGAACATGGTGCTAAGGTTAGGTGTAAGTAGGGGCTGTGGAGAGAAAATGTGGGGTGGGGGAAGGGTATATAATTATCTGAATATAATTCAGGAAATCGGTCACTTTCTTCAAATCATCAGGAAACATTTACTCTCTAAACAAAACCTAACAAGGTTCCCATGGAATAAAGTGCTGGTTTTGTAGGGATCATTATCTTTCTGTTTCTTTACCATAAATGGAGGGAGGACAAATATTTGATCCCGAGATGTCACTATCACACTTTGCATCATATACATTGTTATACTGTGAAGCTCGGTTATGTTTTGGTTTGTCAAAGGGCTCTGTCCACTGTGGTCTCTCACACTGGGTGCCAGCCCACTCTGGATAGCAATGACAGTGGAAGTGCTCCCGCACTGACATTCTTTGGTCTTGAAAATCTGTTGTCCCAAGGTCCCCTTCCCATAACTGTTGGTCCAAGTGGAGGAAGGTTCCTAATTCACTCAGGCGGCGTCTCACACAACGTCCATTCCCATGACACAGCTGGTGACTACATCTGTGTGCTGCTGTAGTCACATTAGCAACGTAAGGTCCCAGTGTGGTGGTGATATAATGGTGAAGGTTCTTGCAGCTCTCCTGGAGAACGTAAGGTCAGAATTAGAATTTGGATTTTGAAGAACTCAAGAAGCACCAGACGGGATCAGGCCAAGAAAACCATCCATTCCAGCATCCTGTTCCTAGAGAGACAAACCAGGTGCTTCTACTTACAAGCAGAACATGGATCACATTAGCATTTTCCACTCCTGGTTCTCAGCAACTAGCATGCAGAGGTACACTGCCATCATTACTGGAAGGCAGTACATAAGAATCAAGATGAAGAACGTTTGATAGTCTTTTCTTCCATGCATTTGATTTAAAAACATCCAGCTTGGCAATCAACATTATATACTGCAGTAGAAAATTCCATAATTTGATTTATGTGCTATATAAAATATTGCCTTTTGCCTCCCCTGAATTTCCTATGATTCAACTTTATTTGGTCATCATGGATTCTAATACTGTAATAGAAGAGGGCAATGTTTTCCTCTTTTCTCTGAACACACATCCATTTTATACACTTAATTATGTCCCCTCAAACACTTTTCAAGCAGAAAATGTTAAGAGTGTTGGGCTATTTGCACAGAGATGTTAACGATTTCCTTTATGAAGACCCAACCATAAAAGAATTTTAGATAGAGAATTAGTGAAACCTCACTGTGGGGAAAACAAATTACTTCATGAACTTATCTTGCTTAAACTAGGGTTTAAAGTTGGATAGGATCTACCAAATAGCTGCTGGGAATGCCACTGGTGTGGAGGAGGAGGTATGTATCTGTTTCCTGCCCAAGGTTCACCTTCACAGTAACGACCATACAAATCTTTCAGACATACTCACAAGTGACCGGGAATAGGAGAGGTCACCCCAGAGCACAACCCCAGCAGTGCCAAGCGCTGCACTTTCTCCAATTGTATTTATCAGGTCAGCCTGCATCAAATAAAAAAAAGAAGAGAACCCTTGTTACTGAGTAGCTCTGTATGAGATGTTCAGGTTATCATTTTGATGATATTAAACCTCTATTAAGCTGGTTTCAATGGAGCATAAAGTCCTATTTTCAGAAACCCGGAGGTATAGCCTATCTTTCCCCATACAGATACCCCAAATAGGTACTTTCCAGTTGAATTGGGCTTCAGCTAGCATAGTTGGGTATTGGAGTCTAAAATAGCTAGAGCAGTATTTCTTAACCTTGGGAACTTTAAGATGTGTGGACTTCAACTCCCAGAATTCCTCAGCCAGCCATGGAATTCTGGGAGTTGGTCCACACATCTTAAAGTTCCCAAGGTTGAGAAACACTGAGCTGGAGGATCACCAGCTTGGGAAGGTCTGATGTAGCAAACCAGAAACCTTGTTGTTCACAAGAGACACTTGTGTTCCATTGAATTCACTGGTCAAACAAGTCTTGCATGTTTTATCATGGCTGAAGAACCTGACAGATTTGTTTGACCATTGTGCGAAAGAACAAGTGAATGTCTACAATTCAGGCAGGCAATAATCATTTTTTAGTTTTGTGTACACATTTCTGAAACACTAAAAATAATTAAACTAATACTTTACATAACAGCAAAGATGTGGTATGGACAAAAATTCTATAGGATATTCTAATACTTTATTTTCTGCAAAAAATTCCCAACTCTTATTATGAATACACAATTTTCAATTATGCATAGTGTAACTTACCTAAGATTTTTTTTTCCAATGCAAACTATGGAAATAATTTGCATAGAATTCTTTTCCTTAAAACAATTCCAGTTCAAAATGGTCAGGAAAATCTACATCACTGAATAACACTATAGTCAGAATAAAACTCTAACAACAAGAAGAGGGCAAACTCCTCTTATTTAATTATTCAGCAGTTTAGCCTATTCAGGAAAGGTTTCATTTATCTCTATAGCTGTTCCTTTAATTAACAGCTTTTTTCCCCTTTCTATTAAAACAACAGCTTCTTATCTGCAAAATTAATGAATGGACTTTAGTTACTGCAGTTCCATTTTTAAACATAGTAATTTTAATACTGCAATTGGATGACTCAGACTCAAATGCAGTTTACTGAATGGCCATGAACCAGGAAGTTTTGCCCAATAATCTACTCCAAAGGTAATTGGAAGAATACAGTACAGTGATGACAGCAGAATGGGCAGGTGAGGGAACCATGTATGCCGCTCAAAGCTACTTTGGAGAAAAAATGAGATAAAACATAACAAAGGAAGCATGCACAATAGAAATGAATACAGCTGAAAAATATTTTCCAGCCAAATAGTAGATGTAACCCTTATTTACAACCCCTGGGGCTATTACTACCCCCTTCTCTAAGTACCCCAGAGTGCTTACCTCGGCTAGATACCTTGAAGAACGCCTGTAGGAAACCCTGGAATATGGTATCACAGGAAGGGGCTGCTCTGTGCCAAACTGTGCTACACGGAATGCCTCTCTGAGACGGTGATGTATATAATGTTGGCGGTGTGAAGACGGTAGTTTCAGTGGAAGGTAGATACTGGGATAGAGGGCTGAGGAGACCTTCCACAACCACATGAGCTGATCATTCCACAAGACTTCCTTGGGATTACAATGGCCAGTGTAGTTCTTCTCTTTCCCCCAGTTGTCATTGAAGCAGTCGGGAAACCTGTAGAAGCCCCAGAAACCATGTGGTCTCAGCTTCTTTCCCAGAGCTAGTGTTGTCTCCATTAGCACCCGAGCAGCCTGTTCAAACTCTATCTCAGCCAAGTAAGATTGTTCCTCAGGGGAGAGTCCATGAAATCTTTCCCTCACCCATTGTTTAGAGGCCTCCCTATACAACTTCTTGGGCCCCCAGTTTCGTCTCCAGAGAGGCCGCCACTCCTCCCAATCTACTACTGCCAGACCTTGGAAGTCATTGTTCAAGAGTTCTGTGATTTCCTCTGTGGCCCTCTCTAGGTGTCTTTTCAGGTTAACATTCTGAGGGATCCCCCCATTATGCCATTCACCCTGTGAGGATATGTAGGGATACAGTCCAAACTTGTTTTTGTAAAAAATAGTCATGTTCTGTCCACGAAACTCATTGCCTTTGTTCTCCACAATGCCATAGACTTCCAGAGGTAATCTGATCCCAAAATGCTCTTGACATCTGGCTGTGGGTAAGTTCCACACCACGACAAATGGCTCATGCTGGATGATGGGGCTAGCAGCTGCCTGCTCCCAGCTATTCCCTGCCAAGGGTCTAACAGCTGCAAAACAGAAGGTGATGTAGATCCAGATAGTTCTCTCCAGGATCATGGTGGATGGAATAAGCTGATGTCTCTTCTGGAACTCCTCCAGCTGTGTTCATAAATGCATCCCCTGACAAAGAGAAAGGAGATGATAGGTTAAGTAAAATCTGTCTGCCTCTTATTTTCAGATCACTACCAACTCAATAGTACATAATTAAAACATTGATTTAAACATTTAATTAAATTAATTAGATCAAATCACTAGCTACAGAGGGCCTTATAATTGTAGCAGTTAAAATGTCGGATTAGAATTGGGGAGACCCAGCTTTGCCTGCTCACTCAGAGTAACCAATGAGTTGTACTATGGAAGCAGCACAAATTTAAAGCCATTCTACTCATGAATCACTGGCTAACTTCAGGACAGTCATTATTTCTCAAACTGTCACCCTCTCACAAGGTTACTTACTGTGGAATAAAATGGTGAAGGGGTGGGTGGAGAGACCCATATCTATTCTTTGTGGAAAAACAGAATAGAAATATAATTAATTAATTTAATTAAGCTACCTGACACACACATTATACAAGCTAGACTTTAATCTGAGAATGGATTCATAATAGCACTGCTTTGTTTAGCCCAGAGTAGGAAGTATGCAGCTTCTAGTCTAATCAAAAGTTCTCTACAGATGTTTTGTTCAGATTTGTGAGAGACTTGGGGGAAGAACCACTTGCTGCTTTCCTAAAAACCTGCTAGAGAGGAGGGAGAGAAAGAGTATCAGAACTAGAGTGATTAAAACAGGTGGCAAAAGAAGAAAAGAAAGTATCACCCTAGATAATTTGGAATCAGGTTACCTTAAAGAACAACTTCTATCAGATCAGCTTTGTAGACAACTGTGATCTTTGGCGATAGTTCATCTCTCTAGCCCATGCTTGCTAAATGTCATTTTGTGACAGTTAGGAAACAGGTCTTCTTTGTAGAAGGCACACCTTGTGAAACAACCATCTCCCTTTTGCAACAAACCAGGCCTTAGATGTGTTTTTAGGTATCTTTAAAAAATATCTTCTGTATTGACCTTCCCCAATCACTACCTGTTCCTAATATTTGTCTTTTTAAGTGATGTTTTTCATGTATTAATGTTTTATAACCACTGCAAATCATTTAAGGAAATGGATTATGAGAAGTGGCATTCAAATCATAACATAACAAAAGACAAAAGAGATCGAGTTTGGCATGTGGCTGGGGACAAAACATTCCCCACAGCTGTCTGAGGATATCTAGGCAGGTGAAGAAACTCTTCAGGAGATAAATACACAGACAAATTTGTAAGGTGGAAATAATGAGAATGTTTAAGTGGGAACTGCCTGGCAAACACTGGTGTTAACAAGGCTGACCTAAAGTTAAATCACTGGTGAGTAGCACTGTTTGGATCAACACAGAAAATGCTGGGAGGAATGACTCTATGGCAGCCATGCGTCTTCCCAACCAAGACATGCAAGATCCAGTCTGGGCAGCCTCCACTTGGTAGCTTCGATTTGTTTGCTCTGTGAATATCTAACCTAGGAAACTGCAGACCAATCTCTTTCTACAGTTTTAATAGCTAGCTTGCAATGACCTGGGTTTTTGACTTCTCCCAAATTATTGCTTGGAAAGAAATCAAGGTAAGCTAAAATGCAACCTTCCCATTCTGGTGTCTAATAGATGTCAACTCCTGTAAATCTCAGCCAGAAAATTATGGGAACTAATGGCCTTCCTCACTTGGAAGGTACCAGATTGGGGTAGGCCAGAATAGAGCATTTCCTGCAATCCAAACTTTCTGATTAATCCGAAATGGCTTCAGATAAGAACCACAAACTCACCATGTAGTTGACAAGCCAATATCAAACTCTTTTTCACACTTGTATCCTAGCAGAAGTGACAGGGTTGAAACCCAAGCTTCACTGCAGACCAGAGAATTAATTCTCTGTCTGATACTTTGCTGGAATTTTGGAGCTGTAAATTAGCAGACATGTCCCTGATCAGCATGGGAATACTTCAACAGTCACCTCACCATCTTACAATATTTCCTGTTAGTGGTAAGGCAATGGGTCTTTTCTCTTAGCTTCTTTTTCACATGTTGTGCAATGTCCATGCCTCTTGTACTATAATACTTGTTGGTAATGTTCCTGCTTCTGTTTTCTTTGCTTGCTTTTGTATGAGAAATATGCTAACAGAGATTACAGGTAGTCCCCTGTAATCTGCTAATGACACAAATGCTATTAGGCTAAGGGCCCACTTGGCCCTCACAGATAAAGGCCACATAAATTTAGTAGGAGAAAGTTCAAAGTTAGAAGTTCAAAAATACTGTCATTTTGTAGCTTAAAAAAAAAACCAAACCACCTCTGGCTCAAAACGTCCTATTTGGATTTCCATGATTTTATACCTCATTCTCCAAGGGGAGCTGTCTGATTAACGACCCTCATCAGCCTGGATGCTGATGTGTCCAAACATAAATACTCCACTGGATCCCTTCAGTCAGCAGTGCAAGACAAAACCAGAGGTCTAGTGATTCTAGACAATTGAGCACTTAACTTTGGACCCAATTTTGTCCTGCCTTTCTGACCTACGATAGAAAAAGCAGGTTGGGATTACCTTGTAGTAATAGGAGCAACAAACATACTTATTTCTCTGCTATTACTGTATCTGTGGATAGCCAGTTGGTGACTCTATTTCAGATGACTCAGTCCCTTCTGGGGAAGGAAGGGCCAGGGGAACCTTTACAAGGTCATTGTGAGGACTACTCTAGGCATCTGCGGGATAAAATTGCTTAGAGCTATGTTCTGGCTGGGCAGACCCCATGGAATTATGTGGGGAGAAATTAAGCCTGTTAGTCCTGAGGAAGTGGCAGGTTCTTGGGGCTTTGAGTTCTACCACTTCCCTGTTCCTCCTGAGTGGTGAAGTTCTCCTTGGAGATAACACATAGTTGGATCCAAGTGATGGTGAATGCTTCTTTGGGGAGGGGATGGTTCTGCCTGCTTTGAAGGAAGCAGTAATTTTCCCTCTCCTCAAGAAGCCATCACTGGATCCAGCAGTAATGGACAATGGTCACCTGGTCTCCTACCTTCTCTTTTTAGGGAAGGTTGTTGAGAAGGTGGTAGCTTTCCAAAGGGCCATGGAGTAAATGGATTATTTAGACCCTCTACAGTCGAGTTTCAGGCTGGATTATAGTACAGCCACAGCGTTGCTCATGCTTGCAGATGACTTTTGGTGAACTTGGGTCCGAAGAGTTGCATTTGTCTCAGCCCTCCATCTTTTAGTGCCCTCTGATGCCATTGATCATGTTATCCTCCTAGACCAGCTTAGGGGGCTGGGAGTGCAGGGCATAGTATTGCAGTGGTTCTTCTCTTTCTTCTGAGGCTGTTTCCAGTTGTGGGGGGAGGTCGAACCCTAGGTCTCCATCTTGCAGGTTGCCTCATGGCTCAACTTTCTCCCCAATCCTATTTAACATCCTACATGAAGCTGCCAGGTGAGGTAATTTGTTGGAAGGGCTAAGTATGATCAGTATGCTGACAATACTCAGTTACAAATCTCTCCCAAGGCTGTCCAAGTGATGCTGTCAAGGGTTCTTTCCTGTGCTTGGTCACTGTGAGGGTTTGGGATGGGGAAAAACAGGCTGCAATTCAAACCCAGCAAGATTTTAGGGGCCCCTGGATCTGGTGATTTTCCATCTTTGACTCTGGATGGGGCAGCACTCCCCCAGACAGAGTTGATGTGCAATTTGAGATCCTCCTGGAGGAGCAGGTGGCAGCTGTGGTCAGGAGGGACTTTGCACAAATCCATTTTGTGCACCGGTTATGCCTGTTCTTGGATTGGGAGGCTCTTCCCACAGTCACTCAAGCTTTTCTGGTTGGACTATTGCAACATGCCCTTCATGGGGCTGCCCTTGAGGAGCACTCAGAAGCTACAGCTGGTCCATGGTACGCCCATGCAACCCTGCTGCTACATGATCCAGAAAGGTGGGCATCGTCTGGCTCCCTTCCATGAAAGAACATTGTCTAGTGAGACTAAGGAGGCATATCTTATCAGTCATGACATCTGCCTTTTGTGGCAACCTCCCCCCTGAGATTTGGATGGCCCTGGTCTTATTGGCCTTCCAGAAGATCTGGAAGATCTGGCTTTTCCCTCAGGTGCTGGGGCCAGGATGTTCGTGGGGCCTGGTATATGTGTTTTTTGCTGCAAAATAGTTTGTGAGATTTTGGCATTTTTAATTATATGCTGCCTCTTGGTTTCTACATTGTGTGATTTTATGTACCAGTTTTCTTAGGTGCTCAGAGTTATTTGGCTAAGATGGGTGGCCATACACTTTCTTTAAATAACAAATCAGTCTAATCTTAGGAAATTTTGAGCAGTCAAAATATATTCTGCCTTTTGAGCTCAGGGAAACAACCATATGATATAATTACATAGCAAAAGGCTTGGCTTTATTTACCCCAATGCAATCAGTCGTGAAGTGTATGAAGTCACTCTTTAAAGAGTTTCTTACTATCTTGTGTGATCAAAAGTTTGGGAGGCTTAAAGAATTACACTGCTTTGTGATCTTTTAAGTTGACCTAAAAAAATAAAATTCTAAACTGAACTTTGATTACTTCACACACACACATACACATGTCCATGTGACTTCTTTTAGGTACACACACCTATCATTTAAATCACTTTTTCCATTTGCATGCCAAAGAACCTTTGTGTTCACTGATGGAGACAACAGAGTAACAGTTGGTTTTTGTATGCTAAGCCACTTTTTTTTCACCCAGCAAATCTAGAATGTCCTCTCTGCCACCTGACACCATCACAACATTTGGCAGTGCCTAACACAAATGCCTGCAACCTCTTTCCATATTTCAGCTTAGGACTGTTTCTAAATGCAGATTCCACAGCTTCAGCAACCCCACTTTTCTTCCCCTCCTTGCCCTTTGCTTTACCATCTTCTTGGAAAAGGTAGACACAAAAAAGCAGAGAGAGAAGATCCTTCCTACGTAACTTTTAATATATGGCCCAGCATACTTTGGGCCCAAGACTCCTTTCTGAAGGCTATTTCTCCTGATTGTGTGCAACTTGCTTCTCTGGTGTTTCAACAAGGTCCAACTATAAAATGCATTAGGCCACATAATAAATATTACTTAAGCCAGAGAAACACTTCTCCTTTTATTTGTGGTTTTCTCATCTGTCTGATGGGAAGTTCTGAAGAACTTTGAAGCACAAACATTATTTCCTAACATTTCATCTAATGATGAAAATGTGTTTTAGGCATTCTTTTTATATAAATCAACTTTTAAGAAAAGATCATTTTTTGCACTGTTTTAATGTTCAGCAAAATGTAGCGCTGAAGCTAAATCTGAAAAGCACTAATCACGTGCAACAGCCAAGTCGCCACTAGAAAAAGAGCAGCACTGCAAGCTGGACGGTGCAGTAGCTGTTTCTGAGAAGCAAACCTGCCATGCTTAGTGGGACAGGACTAAGAGTCCTTTTCTTACTTTCACTGTACAATAACTCAATTCACAAAATTTTATGGGGCAATAGAAGACATTTTCAAATCATGGCACACTTTTCACAGTTTTTTCTATTTATTCTCTCTCTCTCTTTTCACCAACTCATATATGCATAAAGGAGGAAATGTGTAACAGTGTTGAAATCTTCTGACTGGCAGCTGGATGGGAAGGGCACCAGATTGGGGATAACTGTACTAAACGTGACATGCTATATGTTGAGGGCAATGCCAGCTTTTGTAATGCAGTATGCTTTTTATTAATGAAGACTTCTATCTCATTCCATTTGCCTGAAAAAAACTCAGATAAGCTTATCTTAAAAGCAAGTAAAACACCAGCTCTATATTAATCTGAAAAAAGCTCCATAAAGCACTATGAATAGGAATAATTCATAAAGCATCATTGCCTGGCTATCCTTTACTAAAACAGTGCAATAATGGGAAATTTTTTGTTGTTGTTGTTCCATCCTGTTATCTCAGAAGTAACCCAGGTCTTTTCTACTTCCTGGAGCAACAGTCTACCTTGTTCCGAGTTGCTTCTCAATGTACTATCAATGTTCCAAGGCAGCTGAGTGTAGAATTCCAGATTCATCTGCATGAATGGGGAAAAATATATGTTCCCTATATAAAGTGGGGATTTCCTGTGATGTGAGCTTTGCATTTAAGGAACTTCAAAAAGTAACTTTTTTGATGAGAACTTTCCATTATGTTCAAAAAGGAAATAACACAAGGTTCAGAGTAATAACTCTCCAAGCCACATTTATTGGATCTTTTCCTACTTGCAATCACAGCACGTTCCTGCTTTCCTCTTGTCTCCAACCCATGGCTGAAGCATCTTGAAGTCTTTTTTAGATATTCCAGTGTTGGAGTTCTCCCCCTTCAGTAGCCACCAAGCAACAGCAATTTTTCTGATTGCTTCTGCAACATTTTGTCAATGGCACTGCCAGGTGATCTCTAGGGAATGGAATCACCTTGGCACTTGTTGGCCACTGATCATATTATCCAAGTCAATGGTGCAGCCATGCCCCCCCCCCCCCGGCATCTCTTGGCACTCTCCTGCAGGGCCATTCTGCTTAGGGTAGCAAGTCTGATTCTTCCAAAATGGGATTTC